ATGAATTTTACCTTCTTCAATGTCTCGTTTGCAGAACAAGCCGCGTCCGTGAATATGCGACCGGTATACGCCTACTGAAGCTTTCGACGTCTCCTTGAGTTGTCTGAATCGCATCGCCGGCGGTAGGGTCGCTAGCCGTCTGAAAAATAGAAAAGAGTTGTAGCAATTTTTCAGGTGAAGCTATAATTGAGAATAAAAAGTCAAATCTTACCTTGAAATCAAACTCTCGCTTTCCTGTCCTCCAAACGGTGGTGGTTCCTCCCTGAAGGGTGAGGCCATCCAACTGAACATGTCGTGGTTCTGCTTGCGAGCGACGGGGCCGGTGCGAGCGCTGCCCCACGGGCTCTCCTTAAATCCCTCGCTCAGGTCCAAGTTGTTGTCCCAACTGCTCAATGGACGACCTTGGCGGATCTTGTATTTTGTACAACGACTTGCCTATAAATATTTATCTTTATTAGTAAGATTGAATTTTATTCAAGGTAAGTATTTGCCACGTTTTTTATTATTCTGAAGTTTTTAGATTCTAAATTAATATGACTAAAAGGTTGAAATATTTTATAATGTAGGTAATTGACTGTACTTACTCCGGGTAACTGTTCAATCAGATATCTTAGGGCATTGTTGTTTAGTCCAAGAAGATGAGCCCCAGATAGTGTAGATGGAAGATTGTACTGTATGAGCGGCATACCGGATTGTTTTCGTGCATTTTGCACAGCCTCGATCACCTTAGACCAGAGATCGGTTAGTGATGCGGAAGAATAACTGAATCCGTCTTCGGATGTAACTTCATAAATTAACTTCGGCCCATCATCTTTGGGCGGATCAGGCGCTTGCTTCGGCTGTGCAGTTTTGTTTTCTTGACCCTTTGAAAATTTACTCTGCTTCTTAGTTACAGTTGTTTCGCTTTCAGTTTTCCTATCGTTCAACGGTCTCTTCATTAGTTTGGTAGGAGCATTTGACATTTTGGATTGTAGAGATCGATTCGTATCTTTTTCGGTCAACACTTTAGTTGGTTCAACATCCATGTCTGAATCTAAACTGGGTAACGATGCCATTTGGCCAACCGTTACAATGGTTTCGTTATTTCTTGTATCCGTCGCACCTGATGTCCCACTGGTAGTGGGTTGATTCATCTTCGTAGACAATTGTATGGCTCGTGCCGCATCTCTTTCTTCTTTCTCCCGCTTCGCTCTCTCTAATTCGAGCATCCGTTTGGATTCTTCAATGGCTTTTTCTAAATCACTATCTATGGTCTCTTCTTTAACACTTAAATCTGGCATATCATGGCTCACCTGAGTGGCTGGTCTTTGTTTGGGAACCGTTGGAGTTTTACTGGTACTAGCGGCTTTTGACGATTTGCTCTGTCCGTCTCTATGTAATGGCAAAACTCTATTCATCGGTCTCATAGACATGGGATTTACAACATTGGTTGGTATTCCAGATTGTTGAGTAGGTGGGGCTTTGGGTAAAGTAATACTAGTACTGTTTTGAGATGATAAATTAATCGTACTATTTTGTTGAACAGGAATGCATATCATGTTACTATTACTACTATTCTGATTC